AAGAAAATGTAACTATAATGTCTCTATGCCAAGGATTTTTCCTTCTCATCAATCCCACCTGTCGTGTTACTGAATGAATACAGCTACTTCAGTTAATTGTGGACGATTCGTATATATATATATATCGCATGTTCACATTCTCATATACAAGTGGCTCGATGGATTGAAGAGTGTAACACGTTTAATTGTTCTTTAGTTACATATTCGCTTATATTTAGATCGATAATACTCATAATTAGATTCGAGGTTGTCATAAATATGTGTTGAGTTTCTCTCTCTCTCTCTCTTTCTTTCTTTCTTTTTTTAAATTACTCTCCTTTTATAAATAATAGAAAAAGAAGCATGTTGATGATGATGATGTGGGTAACATGCGAAGACTTTTAAAAGCAATAATTACTATATATATATATATGCCTTCTGTATCTTTAATAACATGCTTGTTTGTGAATAATTCACAAGAAACAACAGTAATGTGAACATTCAAGACAACGTCGACGACAACGACAGCGACAATAATATTGTTGAATGAAGAAGTAATTTGCAGCTTGATTACATTTGATAATGACGACAGTCATAGTAGCAAGTGCCTGTTGCCGATGAATTGCTCATATCCGGTTTGCTTTTATTCTTTAATCATCTCCATCAGCATTTTTTTGTCATTATCATCATCATATTGATGACAATAAAACAATAAGAAAAAAAGAAAGTGAATGAACGTCATTATCTATCGTCTATTGGTTCAATTGCTGATTTCAATTGCAATATCCTGTTATATATATCTATATATATCATATGATACTCATTGGCACTCTCCACATTTCTAATTTTCCTTCATTTCCTTTTTGACTGTTCGCTTTGGTTGTCGAGGTGCATATCCTCATATATGTGTATTCTAATTAAACAACATATTCTCTTCCATTCATCATAGATTTTCCGTATTCATATATATATATATATATATATAAAATCTTTATTTTTTTTTCTTTAATTACTATTAAAGAAAATACCGTGCAAAAGCTAATGAAACGTTAATAATAAGAAGACCTGTACCAAAAATTAAACCTAATGTTAAATGAGAACGATATTTTCGATATAAATTTGGTGAAAGATATTCAATTAATGATGATAATATATGTTGCCCATCTAATCCATAACATGGTACTGCATTAAAAAATGCAAGAGCAAATGAAAATGCACCGACATACCTGGAAGGAAATAAATTAATCAAATGAAAAACTAATTTACTAAATATAAAAAAAAAACTTACTGAAAAAATAATGGAATATCACTAATGAGAATTGTTGGAATGAAGTTATATTTAGCTTGATAAGATTGAATAGTAACTAGAATATAAATTTTATTTACATGTTTAATAAATAATTAAAAGAAGAAAAAGTATAAATTCAAGTTAGGAAATATGATGAAAAGATTTAATTTAGTATAATAGTAGTCTTCATTCAAATTAATATATGATTAAATGTTTTTTAAGAAATAAAATGAAATTCTTATGTATTCTCTTTCTTTTCTAGGATAGACAGAAGCTATA